TCTGTGGGGCTCAGAGCGGGAAGGGGCTGAGGGCTGGGCGAGAAGACCACGTTATCTCTCAGCCAGAGCACGGCCTGGGCTGTGGGTCTGGACTGCATGGGTCTCCCAGATAAGCTGCCCGGACAGCCCTTCTTGAGGACCCACTGCCCATCCCCCGTGACCTGTGGTGGTCCCCTGTGCAGGGTATTGCAGGTCCCCTGGGGTTTGGCCCCTCAGAGAGGCTTCTAATGCCCCATAGGAAGAAGAGGAGTCACCGCAAACAGAGTGGCGTTGTTAATATTATACATGGCAGTCCATGCGCACTGCGATACGATGGTTCACATATCACATCATACACAGGCAGCCTCTGCCCAGGCAGTCAGTGTCCCCCGCATCCCTGGGAGGCAGGATGGATGCAAGTTATTCCCACCCCCACGCCGTTCTCAAGCCCAGTGCCGCCTGCAGGCGCTGCTGTCCGGCTGGGTCTGCAGGCTGGTTTTCCCAGGGTGTGGCCAAACCAAGAGATCACTCAATGTGATCCATGAATTTAGGTGGTTTTTCTACCAAAAACTTTATTATAATGAAGGCAGCTGCCTACCAACTATGAGCGCCAGCAAGCGTTTCCGCAGGAGCCAGGAAAGGGCCTGGGTCACCCAGGGAGAGGCTGAGCCTCGAGGAGAGGGAGGGCGGGTGAGATGAGAGACCACGCCAGCCTGGCCCTGCCACTGTCCGCGGAGACCTCCCGGGTGTCCCTGTGAACATCACAAAGACGCAGATAGGCGCCAGTGGGTTTCCTAACATGACCCGTCCCGTGCACCCACGTCAAACGTCCCTCGTTCCTCGTGGATGGGCTAGAGCACATGTGTCAAACACAAGGCCCGCGGGCCAAATCCGTCCCGCCAGGCCTTGCAATGTGGCCCGCACCGCGCTGTCATCACTGCACTCTGCTGCGTTTCCATCACAATGACAGTTTATGACTGTTCAGTAAACCATTCGGCCCGCGATTTAGGCTGGATTTTAGATTTTGGCCCCTTCTCTGATTGAGTTCGACACCCCTAGGCTAGAGCTTCGGCGTGCCTTTCTGAGTTGATACAGAATGTCACAGCATGACCTTGGTGAGGAGCCAGGACAATTCGCTTCCCGCCTGCACAGTGGCTTTGAAGATCAAGTTAAGAGTTGATCTTACAGGGTGAACCTACAGGCTACAGATACATGGAGGTGGCTATTCTGAGTAATCATTACTATTGATTTTTTCTTATTCTCACTGCAACTGGTATCGTCTTGGGGCTTCTGAGAATTTTCTCACCAAAAACCCTCTGCCACCTTCAGTTCCCTGGATAAGAACATGAACTTGCCTTCAACCCACGACCCAACTTGTCATTCAGAGATCTCATTCAGTCCAGTGGCCAGGAACTGGCTGGAGCTGGAACTCGCTCAACCTCTCCCTCCCCACCACTCCTTTTTTTATGACCAGATAAGAAAGGCATTCCTCACACCTGTCCTGCAAGTCAGGTGTTAAGGTCAGTCAGGTGATCAAAAATGGGTGGGGACCAGGTGGGGATTCCTGCCCTCAGGGAAGAGGAAGGAACTGAGTGGAGAGCTGGTGCCAGGGCCCCCATGGCCTCAGTCCCCACCCACAGGGTGGAGGCCTCACTGGGGATGGGACGTGGAGCTGACCGCAGCCTTCATGGTTATTACTTCACTTATGTTCCCTGTAAGGATGACTCAAGATTTTAAATCTTTAAACTGGAGACTCCTGCCGGCCCCACACCCGGTGCTGTCCCGGGGAGAGGCCACAGTCCCAGGCGGGCAGTGGGCCCCGCTGACTGATGACCTAATGCCCCCTCCTCTGATGCCGGGGTCAGGGAGGGGCCCCCTGGCCGCTTACCTTTGCCTGGCACCTCTGGGCGCCTGGGCGGAGACTGTGATGAGACAGAGGGAGGCTCTGTTACTTCTGCCTAGTCATGTCCTGAATGCAAATGGGCAACAACAGAGCTGCCCCCTCCATTGTTCATCCATAGGCCACCACACGTGAGCACGGCGTAACGTGCCCAGCATTCCGCTTCTCCCCCAAATCCCCTCCTCCACTTTTTAAAGATCCATTAAGATATTAGAGGCCTGCTGCACTAAATTTGTGCCAGAGTAGCCTTCCTTCCCCGGCTGCTGGCACCAGCTTCCCTCAGCCCAGGCTTCATCAGGAATGACGTTCGGAATGAAGTCTGGTCTAATTAGCATATTACCCCTTTTTTATTAGAGATATTTTGCATTTAAAGTATACAGTATGATGAGTTTTGACAAATGTGTACAGCCGTGCAAAACGCCAGCAAAACCAATTGTCAACAATTCCTGTCATATACAAATATTCACTTTCCGTCCCTTCTGCTTCTCTCACCGTAGTTCTGCCTTTTCTAAAACTCCATGTAGATTGGACCCAGTGGCGTGTGCCGTTTTGTGTCTGGCTTTTTCAGTCAGCATAATGTCTGTGACATTCTTATTACATTGCCATGGGTCTCACTAGTGTTTCTCTTTTCTCTACCGAGTAATATTCCATTGTATGGATATATCACACTTCTTAAAAATTTTCACTTAGAGTTTACATTCAACATTATTCTGTGTTACTTTCAGCTGAACAGCATGGTGGTTAGACAATCATATACTTTACACAGTGTTACCCTGACACCATAAATATTACAATATTATCAACTATATTCCTTATGTAGTACTTTACATCCTTATGACTATTTTATAATTACCAGTTTGTTCTTTTTTTTTTTTTTTTTAAATATATCTTATTGATTTTTACAGAGAGGAAGAGAGGGACAGAGAGTTAGAAACATTGATGAGAGAGAAACATCCATCAGCTGCCTCTTGCACACCCCCCACTGGGGATGTGCCCGCAACTAAGGTACATGCCCTTGACCGAAATCAAACCTGAGACTGACGCTCTATCCATTGAGCCAAACCGGTTTCGTCCGGTTTGTACTTCTTAATTCCTTCACTTTTTCCACCTGACCCCCAATCCCAGTCCCACCGGCAACTACCAGTTTTTTTCTCTGTACCTATGAGTTTGTTTCTGTTTGTTCGTTCATTTTGTTCTTTCGATTCCACATATACGTGAAATTGTGTGGTATTTGTCTTTCTCTGCCTGACTTATTTCACTTAGTGTAATACCCTCTAGGTTCCCCTTTGCAGTCACAAATGGCAAGATTTCATTCCTTTTAATGGCTGAGTAATATTCCACGGTATATATATGTACCACATCCTCTTTACCCATTCACTTGTCAGTGGACACCTGTGCCACAATTTCTTATGTGCTCTCTTCTTTTTGACTTTGCAAGAGATGGTCTTTCCAGTCCCCTCCTAATGGGGTGACCCTCTGGGCCACGGAAGGTCTCTGTGTGCTGAGTTTTACCTCCCACCTCTTCCTGCTAAACCAGGCCTTTCTCCCACCCCATCCCTCCTTTGCCTTTGAACTTCTGCAAAGCAGACCTACTCCTCTGCTGGGGGTTTAAGATTGTGTTTAAAATAATCACTTATTGCACAAATGACATAAAATAACACCAAGAGATGCCAACTAAAATCTAAAAAAAAAAAAAAAAAAAAAAAAAAAAAAAGGGGGGGGGGGGGGGGGGGGGGGGGGGGGGGGGGCGAGGACAGGACCATGTGCAGCTCCAGCAGCCCAGCATTTGGGATCCAGAGCCACTTCAGCAGACGGCCAGTTCCTCACCACCTGCTCTCGGAAGCGCTGTGCCTGTGCCAGAGGCGTATTTCACTCTATATTTCCCTCATGTGGGCACCCTGTTATATTTGTAGATGAATCACATTTTCACATAATTATTTTAAACTTTTGAAACATTTAAAAATAATATATGAGTTTGGTAAAAAAAAAAAAAAAAAAAATTTAACAGTACAGAAATATGCAAAATTCTCACTGCTCCGGCAGCCCCTGCGAGCAGGTTGGTGAGACTCGCCCCCCCGACATTTCCACGTCCGATGTGCATGCTGTTTAAACTCGATAGAACCGGGCCCCCATGTCCAAGCCTTGGCTCAGTGACAAGCCCAAAGGAAACACACAGTTGGCTACACTTTTGACAGCAGCGCAGGTCTTTGCTCGGTCTGCACAGAAGGTGTCTGAGAGCGATAAGGAGGCAGGCCCTCGGCACAGGTGTCTCCGCCAGGACGCTGCTTCCTGTGAGACAGCGCTGGTGCTCACGCCATCCCTCACAGCGAGAGGCTCTGCGGAGTCACAACCCCCAAACCACCAGCATCAGCTCCTCACTTCCTGCTGCACACCCTGGGTGAGTCCCTCCCCTGCGGGAGCCAAGTGTCTGTACCCTTCCTGCCGGTGACCTGGGAAGGCAGCTTCGGATCTCCCCTCCTGTTGCGAAGGGGATTCTGCTTTCTAAGAGGGGGTTCCCTTAACAGAAATAGAGGTTCCTGAGCTGGACAGCCCGAAGGAAGGCGCGTGCCTTCTAGGGTCCCCCTGCAAAACTCCTTACAAAGGTCATCTCTTGTCCCAGCCGCAAATAGGCCCGTCCTCTCTTTTTCCCAGACTCTGTCTCCTCCCCTCCCCTCCCCTCCCCTCCTCTTCCCTCCCCTCCCCTCCTCCCCCCTCCTCCTCCCCTCCTCCCCCCTCCTCCCCTGCCCTCCCCTCCCCTCCCTCCTCCCCCCTCCCCTCCCCTTCTCCCCCCTCCTCCCCTGCCCTCCCCTCCCTTCCCCTCCCCTCTGCTCTCCTCTCCTCCCCTCTTCTTTTCTCTCCTCTTCTCTCCTCTCCGACTGCCTGTGCAGCCCCTTCTTCTGGGAAGAAGTGCCATGTGTGTAGACTGTAATAATTTGTCCCTGCCATGTACACACGCAAGAAAGACCAAAGCACGTGTGCGATTTCTACACCAAGTGGAGGTCCCCCAGGGCCTGGCACCTTGCTCCCTCAGTGCCCACGAGCTCATTCTGTTTAGTACAAACAGAACCAGCACTGCCTCGTGCCTTCCACCGGGAGTAAATGAGCCGTTAAAAAATTCAACACATTTTTACTTTTAAAAATACATCTTATTGATTTTTTTTTTTTTACAGAGAGGGAAGGAGACGGATAGATAGTTAGAAACATCAATGAGAGAGAAACATCGACCCGCTGCCTCCTGCACACCCCCTACTGGGGATGTGACCGCAACCAAGGTACATACCCTTGACTGGAATCGAACCTGGGACCTTTCAGGCCATAGGCTGATGCTCTATCCACTGAGCCAAACCGGTTAGGGCTCAACACATTTTTAGTCAAAAAAGTAATACTCTCAATGAGGAGCAATCGGAACCCCAGTGCACTGCTGGCAGGAGCGTGAAAGGCAGCTGCTGCGGAAGGCGGTACGGGGTTTCTCATAACATTAAACATAGAACGACCACCCCACCGGCTTCCAGTGGACAGGGCATCTGAAGGCAGGCACCGTGCTCACAGCAGCATTATTCAGAGATCATAATAATCTTGCCACTCAGTGTACCTTATGCCTCATTAATGGCCTTTTACTAGTACACAGCTGTGTGAATGTGTTTACTGGGTAAGTTCCCAAGAAAAGGATTTTTGGGTCAAAGGGCATGTGTATCCAAAGTGCTGACAGGTACTGTAAAATTGCCCTGCAGAAAAGGTGCACCAATTTACATTCCTCCCAAGGGGCCCATTGGCCCTTCCTCCCTCCTTCCTCCTTTCCTTCCTCCTTCCTCCTTCCTCTCTTCCTTATACTTAACAGACAAGCAAAAACTTTTACTTTTTCCGTAGTAACATAACAGGAATAAAAATAAAATGTACATTACAACTTCTCATAGTTCGGGGTCGGCTGGTTCTCAGGCATCCAGCTCCGTAGGCACGCTCTTCATTTTACTGTCACATTGCCTTCTTAGTCCAGCACGTTTCTTTGACTCACCAGATCTTGAAATGTTTGAGTCTTATGCATGCCTTTTGTCTTGTCAAAACAAAGTTAAAAGTACATTTTTCATTCTAAAGAATGACTCTTGTACTCAAGGTTTAATTTTATTTTTGGTTGCGATCATGCTTTATATGATAATTTCCTTGTAGTATTTAATTTAATTTTGGACACGTAATACATTTACACGACTCATAATTTAAAAATATGTACTGTGTGAGGCTCTCTTTCCCTTCACTAGTTCCTACCTCCTTTCCTCTCCTCTGAAACGCTGTTTTTAGTGTCTTATAGATTCTTCCAGAGTTTATTTATGAAAATACAAGCAAATACAGACATAGATTCTTGTTCTCTCTCTTTTTTAAAAAATATATTTTTTTATTGATTTTTGTACAGAGAGGAAGGGAGAGAGAGAGTTAGAAACATTGATGAGAGAGAGTCATCGATCAGCTGCCTCTTGCACACCCCCTACTGGGGATATGCCCGCAACCAAGGTACATGCCCTTGACCAGAATCGAACCCGGGACCCTTCAGTCCTCAAGCCGACGCTCTATCCACTGAGCCAAACCAGTTTCGGCTCTTGTTCTCTTTTTTACACAGAATGTCATGCACTATCTGCTGCCACTTTGATGAGTGCTCCTCATTAGTAGGCGGAGAATATCCTCATTCTTTTTCATGGTTGTGTACGTGCAACATGTTCCCTTGTGGAGGGACCTTATTTATTTCACCAGTCCTTCATTGATGACTATTGATGAGTTCTATCCACTTTACTATTACAAACAGTGTTGCAATGAGCATACTAGTGCACAGAGTCATTTTGGGTATGTACAAGTCAATCTGAAGTGTAGAAGTGGAACTGTTGGGTCAAAGGATTTGTCTTAATTCTGACAGACGCTACCAAAATGCCTTCCTAAAGGAGTTGTGCCAATTTACACGATTACAAAGATCGTGTGAAAATTCCTCTTTGCCTACAGCCTTTCTAACTGTGTATTATCGACCCGTTGGATTTTTGCCAACCTGATAGGTGAAAATTGTTATCTGTAGTTTTAATTTGCATTTCTCGTATGAGTTTGATGGCATTCTTATACATTTAAGAGCCATTTGCCGAAACCGGTTTGGCTCAGTGGATAGAGCATTGGTCTGCGGACTGAAAGGTCCCAGGTTCAATTCCGGTCAAGGACATGTACATGGGTTGCGGGCACATCCCCGGTAGGGGGTGTGCAGGAGGCAACTGATCGATGTCTCTCTCTCATAGATGTTTCTATCTCTCTATTCCTCTTCCTTCCTCTCTGTAAAAAAATCAATTAAATATATATATTTAAAAAAAAGAGCCATTGTATTCTTTTCTTTGAATGATTTCTTCCTTTTTCTCTTACTGCGTTATTCACATTCTTCTAGAGACTATTGGGGAGATTTGACCTTTGCCTGTGACGTGTTGCAAGCCTCCTTCCCTGCAGTCTGTCAAGTCTTTGGTTTTACGTGTGGTGCACTTTATCATTGGTTTTTAATTGTCATTGCTTTTACTTTTATTTTATTTTATTAACTGAAAGAATTTATCGTTTTAATTTCATATTTCATAATTGTGAATCTTAAGAGGGGGGGGGGGAAAGACACCTACTAAGATGGGCTCCTAGTGGCTGATCAGGCTAAAATGAAAACAGCAGCACTAAAGAAACAGAACCAGCCTAGCAGCCACTTCTGCACAGGAGCCTCTCACACACACACTATTCTCTCCTTGATACACAGAGGCGGTGAGTCTTCCTTGTTAGGCTGTTAGAAAGCACCCAGAGTCCCAGCACCACGCTCTCCTGGGAAGGAGAACAAGTAACGTGAGTGGATAGAAAGAGGCTCCCCCTGGCTGGTAGCTCAGTTGGTAAGAGCATCATCCCCATACATCAAGGTTGTGGGTTTGATCCCCAGTCAGAGTACATTCAAGAAGCGACCAATGAATGCATAAATAAGTGGAAACGACAAATGGATGTTTCCCTCTCTCTCTTTCAGTCTCTCTCTCTCTCTCTCTCACCTTCTCTTCCTCCCTTCTTCTGTCTCAAGAAAAAAAGAAAAGAAAAGAAAAGAAAAGAAAAGAAGAAAAGAAAATAAAGAGGCTCCCTCTATCCTCATCTGTCTGGTTGAGACATTCCTGGGCCAGTGGGTACCATCATGGGATGGGTGGGATGTCTGAACATCGGGGGCCCAGACATCATTGGCATGGATGTGGCCTCATTCCAGAAGCGGGTCCCCTGGCATCACCCAGGAGGAGGAGGGCCCATCATTGTCATCACGGGCCCCTACATATGGGTGCTGGCATCATACCAGGGCAAGGAGGATCTGGGAGACGGGGACGTGGGGTTATTGCCCTGGCAGGTGGAGGAGCGGAGAATGCAGTAGGAGGTGTCTTTCCTTATTGAAATGTTGCTGTTATTTTGTCAGTCAGATTTGGAGCCTGCTTTTTTATCCTATTCTGTGTGTGTGTGTGTGTGTGTGTGTGTGTGTGTGTGTGTATGGGGGGAGGGGGAGATTTGAGAGTACATTTATTAAAATTGGGGACAGTGAAACATGGAAGGGCCTGGGATAGAAGAAGCAACAGCAAGCTAGGCAGGGCTGCTTTCTCTAGAAATGTTACGGGGAAGAATGAGCCAAGGTGGGGCTGCTATCAGCTCCCTGGACGGTCAGAGAAAAGGGGCCTTGGAGACAGGCTGGGGGTAAGCCCAGGAGGAGCTGCCGGCCCATTGCTCCTGGCTGCAGGTCAGTGGGTCTCCCGTGAGTTAGGAGATGCCTCCCGTGGGGAAGGAGACGGGGAGGGAAAGGTGCAGGCCTGCTCCTGGGAGGCGGAGAGCAGGCACACTTGGTCTTAGGGTTTTAAAGGCTGGGCGTCTTGGGGAGGTTTTAGGGAAGCATCTCAATAGAACATTCCTGAGCTTTCCCAGGTGCCCTTTCAGGGTTGTGGTCTCCACTGGTTGGTCAGCACCAGGGCAGAGGGTCACCAGGCATTGCAGCTGGTCCTGGTGTTGCCCACCTGGTTTTGCTGCTTTTCTGGGCCTGGAGCTGAAATACAATTGAGGCCTAGATGTTATCTCTAGGGAGGAGAGGTCATGCGTCTAAACTGCATGACCAGCAACATACCAGGGAGGAAAGGCCACTGTGTGTGTGTGTGTGTGTGTGTGTGTGTGTGTGTGTGTGTGTCCTGGGCCAGTTTTACCTGTTGCTAGTTCAACAGAGCTTTCTGTTCAGTGACCTTCTGTATGTAGCTGTAAATTTCTGAGCCAGTTTGCTTAGCTGTCTTAGTCTCCCCACCCCACTTGCCAAGGGATGTTCCTAGCGTCTTACTCTCCTGCTTCATTCCTCCCTCAGAGATTTCCATTCCTGAAATCTTTTTTTTAATACATTTTTTAATATTGATTTCAGAGAGGAAGGGAGAGGGAGAGAGAGATAGAAACATCAATGATGAGAGGAAATGATTGATCGGCTGCCTCCTGCACACCCCACAGTGGGGATCAAGCCTGCAACCTAGCATGTGCCCTTGATCAGAATTAAACCTGGGACCCTTCAGTCCTCAGGCCGAGGCTCTATTCACTGAGTCAAACCAGCTAAGACAATCTCTGAAATCTTCTAGGGGTGATGAAGGAAGGGGGGAAGGGCTCTGTCTTCAGAAACTGCTTTCTGCTGACAGGGGTCTTCTTCTTGATCTAAGGGAGACAGAGCCTGGGGTCCTGGGAGATAAGTTCAGGGGTGAGGAGGAACAGAGAAGCTATTATCTCATCCTTCTAAAGGGGTGTGGGCCAGGATCCCCGAAGCATTCTCATCTTGACATGGAATTGTTTTATCCAGAAGCAAAGTTGTTAATTGCCCCATATCTCACTGACCCAATTATTTCGTCCAGAGAATAAGTCGTTCAGTTACATTGTCGAGTCTCCTCTCAGGAGGTGGCGATGCAGGTGGGCTCTGCAAGTGAGACCTGGAAAGAGAGCGTGACCCCTGTGGATAAGCAAGGCTCCCCAGGGGGCCCTCATCAGCTTCCGAGTCAGGCTCCGTTCCTTAGAGCTTGCCGGTGACATCCAGAGTCTAAGCCTGTCTCTCTACACATGACATCCCTGTCTAAGTCTGGGCTGATAAAACCACAATGA